ATATACACCTAAGAATGGTTTGAAATTTTATGACTAATAGAAAGTAAATGTATTTCGAATATCTTTTCATTATACCTGCCAGGTTCTAAGTTAATTTTTTTCTCCTAAGTTAAAGACTTTGCCATCTATTTATTTTTTTATAAAGTTAAATATATTAATTTAGATTGTCTCCCTATTTGACTACAAAGAAGTGCTATTATTTCTCTATGTGCAAATTATGGAAACAGATATCAAAATACTTTCTTCTTTCCTGATCAGTTTTTTGCTTGTTTGTTTGATTGGTTTTGAGTGGGGTTTTTTGCGTTTTGTTGTTGTTGTTTGTTTATTTGTTTTATTTGTTTTTGGGTTTTTGTTTGGTTATTTTTTTTATTTTTTTTTAAGTAAAAGGGAAAATGTTGGGAAGGTTTCAGAAGTTTTAGAGACCTTTTTAGTAAGTCTTACCCTGGAAGAAATTTTCATTTTTTTTCAAGAAAAGGGCAAGTTTTTTTACTGATCTCCAACTTTTTATTTGGAGGTGTCATTTCAGATGGTACAGGACTTTCTTGTTCATCACAAGATGGTGCAGTAAGATAGCAGGGACTGGAAACTGAAGTTAAAGAAATTAATGTTATACATAAGTGAAATAATTGACAATTGAAACAAGCCGATCTAAAGGCTTGTGAATTTTCCATTTTTTAACATCTCAATTTAAAGTCTGGATGTCTTTCTAAATTCCTTGAGAATTTAAGGTTGAACAAGAAACAATGCAGGGATTACTGGGTAATGCTCTGTGCCTTATGTTAAGAAGAGACTCAAATTAGCTGGAACATAACAGCTTCTTCTCTTCTTAAAATTTGTGAATCATCCAAAAATTTTTCTACCAAATAAGAGAAGAGAAGAATGAAGACTGCAAATATTTCTGAAGAGGGGAAAAAAAGAAGCAAATAATGCTTCTAGAAAAACCCACATATGTATGTGAGGACTTCAGCAATAACTTGAGAATATAAAGTACTGCTGAACTGTCAAATCACTCATAGACAGAGAAAACTGCTAAATACTTCTAATGCCAGTAGTATTTCTGGCACATTCCTCTCCAGTGCTCTTCTGTGCAGTGTAAGACTCTCTCCTGCCTTTTTCATCCACCAACCTAATTTCTCACTGTTGCGCTTCTTTTATCAATTCCCATATCATTTTGTTCTCTTGGGTTTGTTTTTTTTTTTTTTTTCTTTTGACATTATCGGGCCCAGCTACAAGAGAAAGGTTCTCCCTGGTGCTTCAGGGCAATTTTGTATCCTTCCCTTGCGCACACAGCACAGGCAGTCAGGAGCAGAGTGGAGTCAGCAGGAAAAGACCAAAGATCCTAATGGGATAGAGCAACCTAAGCCCCGGCTACTAGCACCAACCACCGTTTCATGTGCTGAACCCCATAGACAAATTAATGAGTATAATGTCTTCTTCAAGAAGAATCCTGTGTAGCCTTTACTGCATCTCAGCTGTTCTCGCATTTTACAAGTAAAACCGTGTAAAAAAAATTTTGGAATGTCATCAGTAAAGTGGGTAATCAAGAAAAGCATGAGCTTGATACCATAATGAGAAAAACTCCTGCAGAAATGTGCTAAATGTGAAATTCTGAAAAGTTTTTTATGAGATACAGAAGCCATAATGCTCACTGTTGAAGTAAGGAGTTGGGATACGATTCACTACAATAAGTTTAGTTTGCTGACAGGCCTGACTGCTGGTGTAACTCACCTCAATGACTTCAGCACACTTGTGGAGTGAGGGAGAGAAGGAACAAGATGCAAGTATGTCAGTAATTTGGTTCCCGTGCAGAGGGTCCTCCCAGGCAGTTATGCTTAGAAGCAGCTATGCACCCCAACCCACTTAGTTACCCACAGCTGCAGATTTATTCTTAGTTTCAGGAATGTGAATCCTCACAGACATGGTAATGGCTTCATGTCAGCTAGGAGACAGGTTTTCTCCTCAAGATATTTCTCTCTGTGGGTGGATGAGGGGGGTTTAGTGACATCTGATTTCTGAACCACATCAGTCACTTGCCTGGATTACACTGGTCTTGCTAGTTGTAACCTGTACCTACATGCAGCTCAGTGTGTTTCATTAAGAAATCCTACTGTAGGCATATGACTGAAGCATAAGACACAGCCAAGCTCCATCTGCTCTACAGCCTTGAGAAGAAAAATGAGAGATGCATACTGCAGGTTGGGCTGACAGGATGGGTGCTGTACCCCTGTGCTGGCATAGAACTGCACAGGCCACAGTGAGAACTGGTGCTCATGATGGCATGTTACTTGTAGAAACACAGTAGTAGGTCATGGAAGTCAAGGTGATGTGCCATGAGGCCTCACAAGCCTCTTTGTAAGTGTAGGCCTCTCTATAGTCTCCTCTACTTGCCATAGTAGATATTTGCTCCTTGGCTAAGCCAAGACCAGCAGAATAAACTCAGGCAAACAGTAGGACTGCAAAAGGATCCTGCATTTCTCCATCAACCAGGAGGGAAAAGCAGGTTTCTTTGACACATTTACCCAAGAAAATCCAGAACAATGTCCATGCATATTCTAGAAAACTTCTTCCAGAAATTCCAATGCACAGACATCCTCTCTGAGAACAAACATGCACTCAGAATTATCCTGCTGTTCCCTGGGAAAGAGTTCAGGCCTTAATATAATAAATGTACAAGAACATAATTCAGGCAAGAACAGCAAGGTTTCTATTTCTTTCAAAAGTTGATGGATTATAGTTTGCTTATTTAGCCTTTAATATTTATTGTGGTGATTCTGAATATCCTGAGTGGTGTTGAACATTATCCTATCCCATCTCCTTCTTTTGAGCACGTCTTAAATACACAAAAAGTTTTGTCTTTTCTATGTACTAAGCCCTGCTTTGTCAAGCCATTCAGCTAAATCATTACTAAAAATTATCTTCTGTTCTTAACCTTCTATATTCTCAAGATTTCCCTAATCATTACAAACTCCAGCCTGAGCCCCTTGACAATGTCTCATTACAACAACCTTACTACTCAGATTCTTATGCAGTACAACCAGCCACTGCTCAGCTGAAGTCAATGAAGGGACACTGATTTATGAGATCTGTCTCTTCCCTATCTTCATTTCTGTTAAGTGACCTTTCAATGAAAATGAGCGTATGGAAGGGTAAAATCTGACATGGGAATAAGACAAAATATATTATGAAGATAAGCAGGTTTTCTACCTTGCTGAACACAAGCACTTCACTTGAAAAACAACCCCTGGGGAAATTTGGACATGTCAATAGTCTTCAACCTGTTTCTAAATGAACTATAATATATGATAAATTTTTACAAGCAAGCAAATTTTCACCAATTAATGATATTATAAACAAAAATCTATTGCTTTTAAGAACAAACATAAACTTTTCTTTCAGTTAGGTGCCAAAATTTGGCTGACTTTGTACATTAGAGGAATCAGGCAATTCTGCCACGTGGATGAAAACATATATCCTTTTGTGATGCAAAGCTACATAGAGCTCTGTACAAGCTATTTGCTGTATGGTCTTCAAAGAGCTGAAGCACCCATTAAGCAAAACACAACAGGTACTCATTCGCACATGAATCTGACAGTGTGTAATACTGTTAGTAGACTGTACTTGCTAAGAATGCTAGCAATAAATTTAATGTAATGAAATGAAAAGTCAGACATGTTAGAAATTATTTATGTAGAAATAAGCCTGTTCTTTGAGGAAGGACAATGAACTGGGTTCTCAGACCAGTCTGACAGTGTCCATATAAAAAATGAAATCATCTAAGCCAAGCAAAGCATTCTACTGTTAGGGTTCCAAAGGATGAGAAGAAAAGTAATAAGTCATGGAAGTCCTAGTGAAACAGGTAGACCAGGCCATCCACACTGTTTCATATATTGTACCTCCACAGTATTCCAGTAAAATAGTGACAACAGGTAACATTAACAATAAATTTAGGGGGATAAAATCCTGTCTCAATTGAAATCAAAGCAAAATTTCACCCTTTTCAGAATCAGGATTTCATCTTTGATTACTTTTGTTTTCAAGTATTCACAGCGAAGAGGTGTCTGGAGAGGTGTCCGGCTTTCAGCGCTCAGCCCCTCTAATTGTTTCCTGCTCTTAAAAAAATTTGTATTATTAGATTTTGAGAGACATATTAACACTTAGCTCCACTGGCTTCTTATCATCTATTTCAGGAACATCCAAACACTAATAACTAAAATAAATAACTTTGCTTGTTTCCATCATCATCGGGGGACTGGCATCATACATTTTTTCTTCCTTCTCCTCCCTCTATCCATCCTGCACTAGCCTTCTTTTATTGCTTGCTCTGGTCATGGTTATTGTGAGGACTATTTCTTCTTCTTTCACCTTCACTGCCTCTTTTCAAGGCTTAGCTGAAAGTGACTGCTTCTTCTAGCCAACATAATAACAAGGAGCTTTTATTTTTTCATTCAGGTATGTCATTTGGAAGAAGGAGAGGTATTTTCCAGGATACTCAATACATTCAAGACCTCCTAAACATACAACACTACTCTTTTGATTTGTCTCTATCCGTAAAAGGATATAGGCAAACATATATCCCTAAAAAAAGGGCTGAAAGAATGTTTTCTAGTGTTTACAGCCTTTCAGAGGAAAGCCTGATAAAATACAAGGGAATCTGTCACTATAAGTGATGGAATCCCACAAGACAAGAGTGAGGATTAGCCTAACAAAACATCTGCCTATGTCAACAGTGAAACAAAGCTCCATCAGACACTGATCCAGGTAACTTAATGTCTTCCTCCGCCACCACCACCTCCCCACTGACAGCTGGCCATGCATACAAAGCACGTCTGCCTCTCCCTGACACCACTCAAAAGACTGCAAAGATAGCGCAAGTGTGGCTTCCTGACAGTTCTGTCTAAGGACTTCCCACCAAAAGCATGTACAATGCTATAAATGTTTCACTCTCCCTCACAGCAAAGAGGTAAAGGTTTTATTTCTCCCAAGAAGACAATCTTACTTACTTGGGATAGCGTCTCTGCTGAAAGATGGGCAGAATCTCTGTATCTTGATTTGAATGTAGAAGCAGTAAATCCCGAAATCTTTCTGTCAGGACAAAGAAAAAAAAAAGGAAAAGAAAAGAAAAAAAAAAACAAACAAACCCAGACTGTGACTCTGCACTGTAAGTTCAGGCCATAAGTAAGTAAGCAGTAATATCAGTGAATTCTCTTCTCCAGAAATATTTAGCAGAGGACAAGACTAAGTGTACAGGGACTAAAGATCACCTGTAAAACATTTTAATATTTTAAAATGTAATTTTTTTCATTCAATATTGAATTTTACTAGTCCTTATAAGTTTCTGAGGTCTGCATAGATGTCTTTGGGGTATCATACTCAGATAGCCATAAACAGTCCCTGCCTTAGTCTAAACAGAAAGGAGAAGGCACTAAGAATTCACCAGCCACTGAAGGATCACAGTAGTTTAAACAAACATAGATTAATTAATTAATCTAAATTAAACTGCAGTACAAATCCTTCAGTAACCAATTCACAGGTATTTGCAAGGATTGTTGGAAGACTGGATTGCTTTTTCACCACTATTACATATTTTAAAAACTGCAGGATAGGATCATCTGAAGGAGGTAAAGCTTTTGTAACTTATCTTCACTGAGCACCAAATGAAGGGGTGGTTGTGGTTTGCGTAGTTGCCTTTGATGCCCTTCTTTCTCTAGAGGTGGTTAGACACAATATGTCAAATGGGATCTGTAGGAGCTTCTAGTGGTACTGATTTCTCAGTTCCTTGAAGATGGAAACCTCCTCAACATTCACTTGATACCCAGATTCAGGGATAGAATTTCCCCCACAGATCAAATCCCTCTGGCACACCTGTAGCTCTCCATAGCATGGGACATGCTCTGTTTGCTTCTTTCCTTCTGTCACCTGCAAATTTTAATCAGTCCTACAGTGGCACAGAACCTAGGACATAGGTGATACCCTTTCTGTCTCCTACTCTTCCTGCAATACCTAATAACTGTGGATTTAAGTCTTCAGCAACAGGTGTTACCCTTCATTTCCTAAACCATAGTTTGCAACCTGTGTTGTGTATAGCAGCTGTACCATGGATTTCTCTAACCTATTCTTCCACAGCAGTTCTTCATTCTGGGAACTGAACCTGAGGGTAAATGTAGTCCTCCTCCTTTTAGATCCCTATGTATCTCAAAATATCCTCTAATGTCGAATATACAGATAAGGAAATCAAGGGACAGAAAAGCATTTAGTTTTATATAATGCTACATCATCATAACTAAACTCCATTAATTTGGATATAATTCTGCCATGTAGCCTCTAAAATGGAAAAAATCCCCCCCCAAACCCATACTTCATAAAGTTGCAATACCTTGAAGAAACCACAATAAATTCAGAAAGAAAACTCTCTTGTTAAGCGCTTAGTTTTAAAGGTCAATTGTCTCACATCTCTCTAGTCTTTCACCGGATGGCTAAGACATATTGCAAACATCTTGGACAAGATACCAGGATCTGCCAGTGAAGAAACAAGAGCTTATCTTTGTTCCTTTATTTCTATACCTCTTCAGATTCAATTTTGAAGAAAATAAGCACTCCTACCTCCAAAAATCTTACCATATCCTCAAAATGTAGCTTAGCTTTCCTGCACCTAACTAGAGCAGGGACTGGACGTGGCCAACAAAAATAAATGCAATGCTGTAAAGATGAAAGTGAAAGCCAATGAGTGCCTGTCATGGAACAGCCTGATCACTGTCTTGACAAAAAGCTTACCATTAAAGCTACCTGCCTAAACATGATACACTATGATCTTGAAAGGCACTGGACAAGAACTGAAAGGCTTAAGAAAGCTTTCACTGATGCAAAATATCCCACTGTGTATCTTCAGAGCTAGAACATTAGCTTCTACCTCTACCTCAGGAATCTTCCAATGTAATTCAAGCTACTGGTGCATTTCCAGGAATCCAGGAAAGTCTTCATATGAACAACAGCCTATATGTGCACATAGTGAATGTGTGTGCCTGAATGAGGAAGTTTATAACGGCAAACACCAAATGACAGCACTTCTTTCCATAACTTGAAGATTTTGACCTCCAGAATCAGGTCAGTGATTCAGTGAGACACCATGGTTAAGGATCTGCCTTTGTGGTGGCATGACTAATTTATTTTTGAGGGCCTGTACCGAGGTTTGACAGAAATGCAAAACATGGACAGACATGCTCTTATTCAGTTCAATGCTGCACAACACCACATTACAGGTAGGTGAGCAAAGCTGTTTTGTCAGACCTTGCAAAAGGCCTGTGACTCTGGGAGAGACAAAACATCTTGGTGGGTGCGCAGGTATGTCCTGCTCCATTGTTCTCTCTCAGATGGATATCACCCATGCGGAGAGTCGTATTCCAACTCTATCCCCTACCCTGTGACTTTTTCTTGTACTGCTGCCCTTTCCCACTGATCAAGGCTACCTGGCTGCACTCCAGGACTCAATTCAACAAGCTGCGATCTTGAAAATATTTTGAATAGTAATGTGACAGGGCAGGCCAGTACTGGAGCAAAACCAGCCAAGTTATGGCATCTGAAATTGGCCTAAACAGTTTTCCTACTGGATCTTGTTTTAGTTAAAGTCAGCTTTTATTTTTTTCCCCATGTTATGGCAAATTTCCCAGGCAGATTTATTTTCTTTTCACCATATGACTTTACTCATTTTTCCATGTGGCGTGGCTTAAGCTCAGCCAGCGACTAAGCCCCACACAGCTGCTCACTCACTCCCCTCACAGTGGGATGAGGGAGAGAATCAGAGGAGTAAAAGTAAGAAAACACATGAGTTGAGATAAAGACTGTTTATTAGGACAGAGAAGTAAAGAAATAATAATCATAGTGGTAATAAAAATAATAATAATAGGAGTAAAATAATTAGAAGATACAAAACAAGTGATGTGCAATACAATTGCTCACACTTGCCAACTAGTGCCCAGCAAGTTCCTGGGCAGTGGCCCCTGGCCAACCTTCCTCACAGTTTATGTACTGAACATGATGCCATATGGTATAGAATATCCCTATGGCCAGTTGGGGTCAGCTGTCCTGGCTGTGTTCCCTTCCAGCATCTTGTGTCTCCCCAGCCTTCTCACTGGCAGGGCATGTAAAGCTGAAAAGTCCTCGTCTTAGTATAGACACTACTTGGCAACAGCTAAAGTTATCAATGCTATCAATGTTATTCTCATCCTACATTCAAAACACAGCACTGTACCAGCTATTAGTAAGAAAATTGACTCGATTCCAGCTCAATCCAGCACACCAGAGAAACACACTGTATGGTAGCGTTCCACCTCATCTCAAGTCCATACTACAACTTCCTCTGGCACGTGTAACCTTCATGTCCTGTAAATCCTCTTAAGAGAAATGGCACACAGAACAGAAACCTTTAGGACTAATTTGTCCCATGGGACCATTATCTACAATGTGTTACTCTTCAGGTCTATGCTATGTTTGTGCAGTCTAAAAATCACTCTACTACTGCCTTTAAGGACTATCCAGCAAGGTGATGAGGGAGATGATGAGAGTTTTGGTAGTTATGAACAAAACATAGGTAATTTTGGTGCTCTTACAGAACTAAATATGAGAAGACTAATGCTTGACAAGAGAAGGCCTTTCAATTTGCAAGAAAAAATATCACAATGATACCTTCCCAAAGAGGGTGGGAATCTTTTCAAAAACCTAAGACTTTCTTCTAATTCTTGCTACAACAACAAATGAAAGATTTGGGAACTGCTTAAGCTAATAATTAGAGCATCTTTATATTATTTTGATTTGCAATCACTAGTTGATCAATAGACCTAATGTCACAGACAATCTTTTTATTGCTTGGATAATTTTAGAGAGACATCTTCCAAAATTGTGTTCTTACTATAGTTTAGTATCTAAAATGTGATGCTTTTGTCTAGGTGTTTCTCTGTTTAAAAAAAAAAATAAATAAATTTACTTAACCAAGGCTGCTTTCTTACTAAAGCTGGCAATTATCTTCTCTGTTCCTCATTCTATCCATGCAATTTACATTAGTTTAAGTCTGTACTAGCTAGTCTCCTAATGATTTTTCCCATTGTTCTGAGATCAATAACACCAGTGATTGTTTTGTCGCTCTGCTGAGTGTGACACTGCAGTCTGTCTCACTGATGCTCCCATGAGTCTACCTGCAGGACATAGTTCTCACAGACATCAAGAACAGTCATGACTTATGCTCAAACTTATCTTTCCGATATGCTGTGTTGCAACTTCTTCCTGGCTTTCATTTTGAGTGTACAGTTCCTTCCAAATCCTTTATTACGAGCCAGTGAGAAGTCCTCAGTTAAATTTAGACAGTCTCACTGAGACCATATATGTTTAGCTAAACACGTAACATAGTTACCTGTGATGACTAGAGGCTGTATGTAATAACACAGTGTTATTCCCTGTCCTCCCAAATCAGGAAGGTTGTAGACTATAAAGAAGAGAAAGTTTGCCATTGCAAGCTTTACAGATTTAACCTGTCCTACACATATACGTTTCTTCCCTGTCTCTCATCTAATTCTTCTTCTCTCTATTCTACCTTTTGTTCCTCCACCCCTCCAAGAATAACATATTCACAAGTCAGCTGCTGGAATCTCAGTTTTTAACATCTTTAAATGCTAAATGCTTTTAACATCTTTATAATACCTGTTATAGCAGTTAACAATTTACAAGGACAGAAGGATGCATTTCAAGAGAAATTTTCCCTTTGAAATATTTAAATGGATTTCATATTTGTTCTCAAGCAGAATGCAGTTGTGCTCAGCATGGTAACACTAATGCCAGAAAAATGTAAGTAAGAATGGGCATATAGTCTGAAGCTCATTCAAACTGGTTACACAGGCAAGCTTCCTTCTTCCAGGATACACTATTAGAAAAGTGGAAAGAGAGACAAAGGGATTTTTTGCAATATTTTAATATATGAGGCTCGCAAAGCAAAGAAAATCAACTTATATAGAAGGTCCTTCTGAGTTAAAACACATTATTATTCACATTCTGTAGACATCTGTAGACAGAGACACACTGTGGTGCACAAAGAGCAC